CGAGCTTTAATTTGTAATAAAATACATATAGGGTGATTCCTAAATACATTTGGGGCCCACAGAGTATTCCCAATTTTTTTTTTTCACATTTTGTTTCTTATGCCACATTGCTGTTGGCGAAGCAAAAAAAAAAAAAAAATGTCAGAGAATAGCTTTCATATATCTCTAGCTCTAATTTGTAATAAAATACATATAGAGTGATTCTTAAATACATCTGGGGCCCACAAAGTACTCTCAATTATTTCGAGCCTCTCTTATGCTACGTCCACATAACAGTTCGCCGTTGACAAAATGTTAGTGATCTTGAAATCTTGGCGATAAGTTGTAAGAATTAATACTTTTTCAATCGTCATATTTGACGAAATTCAAAGAAAGTAAAACACTCGGTGATAAATTACAGCTTAATTCTTAATAGGTTTAGACTACTTAAACCGGTCGTCTCATATATAAATAATAACGAGAAAGTATAATGAAACGCGAGGACATTTTTTTAACTTTCAAAACTGGCCTACTTTTAGCTACCAGAAGTAGGTCTAGGCTAATCTCCTTTCGATTTAGGCTAATCGAAACTACGCCACATCGAGCACAGGTCATTCTCGTCGAAAATCCATCCATAAAACATTAAATATATGTCTGTCGTAAGAGAAGAACATGCGAATCACACACTTTCATTCTCGAGAAATGTCATAACGTGTCTTTCTACATAGCACGACTTTTTTCGTACAGCATACCGTTTCTGTATTCTAAATTTCGCTGGTCGAGTAAACGGTGCTGCTGCAGGTTTCGTCCGTAATTAACAGATTTTCATCCAGATAAGTTCCAGACAAATCGATGACGGGAAAAATAGTTTTGACAAACCAGCGACTGTGTCACTATCGCGGTATCACTCGGTTTAAATCTAAAAACACGTGTTGCTGCACACGCAAATAGAAACGGACGAAACGAACGAACGAACGAACGAACGTGCAGGCGTCCGCGTCAGCTGGCGCAATTATCCCAGCAGCCCATCGTCAACGCCGTCCATGCAACGACGAATTAATTCGCTTGTCGGGCGCATTACTCTTGGCGCGTTTGCCCTTCCCAAGGCCGTTCCGATTAAATCCGGAATTACATTTCGATCCGTCGAAATCTCTTCGGCGCTCGGAGTTTGCACCCGGCCCCGCCCGCGCCTGTTCCCCATCCACCGCTGGCTCGCTATTAATTACCATGCAAGCCCTGGGCCCGGCTGCGTTTAATCACGAAACGGTTTCACCACCGAATCCATTCACACACGAACCAACCGCGAATTTTGTTCGCGTCGCGTTTACTCGATTTTCTACGACGTTCGTCTCCCCGGGGGCTTTTCGCCACCCGGATTGCCGGCGTTTTGTTCATGTTTGATAAGGAAGAAAGAAAAGGAAAAATATATAGCGAGTATAGGTTCGTACAGATCGCGGTGCAATGAACTATTTAATTTATCCAAAATGGCGGAGAAGGAGCGTGAATATTTATAAGTATTTTTCATGAAAACTGACGAGTTTTAATAAAAAATAGCTTTAATAAATAAAAAATATTGATTTCTGTTTAGATAGGAATTATTATAATATAATGTGTATAGTATGCATAGTAAATTTATTACGTATTATTATATTATAGTAAATATATATAATATGTATATATATATTATAGTATATAATATATTATTATAAAATACATAATATTGTATATTATATACTATATTTTAGTATAATATATAATATAATATATATATTGTATATATTTTTATATATTATAATTGTATTAATCATCATCATTTAAATCATATTATTCATAGAAATTATTATAATATAATATGTATAGTATGCATAATAAATTTATTATTATATTATATTATATAATAGAATAATATATTATTATATATTGTATATATTTTTATATATTATAATTGTATTAATCATCATCATTTAAATCATATTATTCATAGAAATTATTATAATATAATATATGTATAGTATAATATAATATAATATGTATATATATTATAGTATATAATATAATAAATTATTATAAAATATAGTACATAATATTGTATATTATATACTATATTTTAGTATAAAATATACTATATATATATATTGTATATATTTTTATCTATTATAATTGTATTAATCATCATCATTTAAATCATAATGATGAATACGTAGAATATTTTAACAGAGACAACAAATATGTACAACAGATATTACATAAACCAAGTTGTTCTAATATTAAAAGATTGATTTTAACTATCCGAAATGTTCCTTGAATATTTCAATATGAATAAGTCAATAGAAAAGGATTTATACTTTATACGAAAACCTTCGATTATGCTCTTCGTTGTAACTATCATCGTAACGAAAGAAAATTATTTGAAGCTGATTTCTGTTAGTCGAGCTGATCAATCAATACAACTGTCTCCCTGTATAACATTCAGCATTTGTTTCACTTCCGTTTTATATTCTCAAACAACTGAACGCTCCGCTACCATCGCGATCTAAACCCGCTCGTTATGTTTTTACTGTTACACCCTGTTTACCCTATTTTTGGACGAACAGCCTTTCGACATAACCGGAATATATATTCACCGATCGCGTTATCCAGTGCAATCAGTACCTTCCAATCGAGTCCGTGATGCAATTTTGTACGTGCTCGATCGTCTATATCGCTGATGGACAATAACCCTCGATCTATCGATCTCTCCTGGCAGTGGACGACGCTTCGCTCGCGCGGGAAATTCTCTTCACAAAAATGATGATTTTTCATCCCGGTTAAATCTAGGTTACCGTTTGCGTCTGCAGGGCGCATTGATTTCACTTCGGCCCCTTACCGACGTCGCACGTTAACCTTCGTCCGATAAAACGCTGGCTTCGTTCCGATCCGTTTGTACAAACAGTCGAATTCCGCGTTACGTACTATCCCGACAGAACGAAAGATGAAAGCAAGAAATGAAGAGTCCTCGGGGGAAAAGCGTCGAGTTCCGACAGTTCTCGGGAAAACGAAAATCTACTTTTACAGTATATGAAGGATCCAGTAGGTCGTTTTTCATTAACGTCAGACTTGATCGAAACGACCGAAAATTCGTGATATTTTCGTAGTTTTAGAAACTTGATTGATTTTTCGTACAATGTACGAACAAAAGCTTGCGTCGTTCGTGTACACGAAGTCACGATTTTTATTTCTAGAATCTTGCGCTCGGAATACGAGTTGAAAATCGTGTTTCCGATTTTGAACATCTGCCGTGTCTTAATTGTATATTATTCAAACTTCTTTTTTACAGATAATAACCGTCTTCTGACGCTCTTAACTATATTAGTATAATTTAAATAACTTAACTATATTAGTATAATTTAAATAACTATATTAGTATAATTTAAATAACTTTGTCCATATCGAGTATCTTGTGTAATTTTTGGAAATATGAAAAAATTTTATTCAACACAGAGGAGCCCATAACACGAGTCACTATCAATTTTTTTTCCATGCATTAGTCGATGTAGACTTCTCTATAAAAAAAAAAAAAAGTATTGACCCGTGTAAAAATTAATTACATTAATTAATTAAAAGTGTTAACCTGCGTCGAAAAATTATTAGTCTGGGAAATATTTCAAATTTATTTTCATAAAATCTCCCAATGGATGAAAGACAAGGACAATATGAATAAAAGAATACCTTGTCTCTTATCTTCGACATACATTTTATATTTAATTAAAGGTAAAATATCTCCTAAATTAATAATTCTTCGACATAGACTAACACCTCTCATATGGTTCCATTTAAAAAACACAAAGAACATAACTTTGAAGTCCCTTTGAAGAATTTTCCATCTACAAAAAGAATTATTACTGTATTAATAATACTACGGACTCCTTTATACTGGACAATTATTTATCAATAAAGTCTCCAAAACTAACGGAGAAGTTCAAATGCTAATTTTCATTGGAACATTTTGTAAAAATGTACAATTACACTGTGTTGCATACTGTTTCTATATAACGATCCACGATGTACGATGATTAAAATATATACACGTTGTCTCGAGCTCTTGTAAATTCACGTTCGTCAAAATTTATTTTACATCGCGAGACAGGCAGACGATTATCGAGTTCCAACGTGGAATGCAATGTTATTTAAGAAGCGAGCTTCTTCTTACCTGGTAGCTTCTTGCAGCAACAGGTGAGGCGGAACCCAAAATTTCACCCTCAACGCGAATCTTAGCGGCGCCACACCGCCACCCGTTTGCCTCTCTATGGGATTTCTTAGATTCAACCAGAGTTCTTCGCCCTTTGCATTCTGATACTTTAGCCCGAAGTAATCGCATTCCTTGCTGATACCCAGGCAGTCGCATGCCTGCGAAAAAAACAAAAAGATCTTCAGTCAGAAAGATATTACAAATCGTAGACAAGACGGGAGAGCAAGTTGATTGAATCAGAATGAAATCACGTTTAATACTACGTTATTGAACCAACGTGATTGAAATAATTGAGCAATAGAAGTAGCTACCAACAGACTGCGGATTTTTATGCATTTATGGAAAATTGGAAGACACAGAAACATATGAAACACATATAAAAGTTGATAGGCTAGACTTTCTTAATTATCTTCACAAAAAAAAATGCGAATTTCTACAGTTGTCAACCCTCAACGCTAGTGGTAGAAGATTATATTATAGTTTCGCGCGTTCGTAAATTATTCCATACGTTTCTTTTTTTTTTTTCTTTCTTTCTGAAAAATACACAAGAGAAGTGTATTAAAAAAAGAGCAACTAATCTTAATAGGGAAAAATAGGGAAAATCTGAAAACTGTCCCCTCCCATCGATGGGATCGCGGATTGATACATTCATTTATCTTCCAATTCGCGCGCGAATTTCGCATTTTTTTATGACCGAACGAACGAACCAATTCGCTCGGAAGTTACGCGCATTTTTCTCCGGATCTATTGTCCGGCAGAGCAATTAATCGATTATCCGGAATACTAGGCGGGCCAGCGATTCGTGGAAAAACAGCAAACGTGGTCGAGCCACGGTGCGTGCAATAAATTGCCGGCAATAATTCAGAAAGTTACCGGTTACTCCCGCGCGTATGGCGCACCGGTTTTAAACCGCGAGAACGCTCGCTATCTACGATCGCTTTACTTACGCTCTCCTATATTCAAACCGGCGATATATCCTGCTCTAGCTTAACAGAAATGCAGCCCGGTGTACAACGATCGTTCTGCGGAATGGTTTTGCGGCGGCTAAGGAGCAGGACAGTTCGACATTCGCGACAGCGGCGATCGTATAATTTCCAAAAGTCTGTAGCTATAACTTTTTTTTTTTTTTTCTTTTATTGTGCACGACGAACGTTCATTTCATTCTAATATTTTGCACTGTAACAACAGATCGTGTAACTTAATGGTTTAAGAGCCACGACAAAGCAATAAAAGATTTAATTAAATATTCAACCGGTTGCGCTGGACATTCGCGGACCATAACGAGTGACCGAACAACCGTATATAATAATTCGTCGCTTTATTTTTCTTTTGAACTCATGTCGATATCACTGGATAGGAATGTTTAACATGTAAATGAATTTATCATTCGTTTTGCCTATAATTACGTTTAAATATAACTGAAACTGAGAAAATGTTGCAATTTGGGAGAAAAAATTCTCGACGTGCGTGGCACGTCATTCCAGCGCAAGAAGTAGAAATTAAAATTTTTAGTTTTATAAAATTTAAATAGAATGTTATTAATATTATAAATAGAATATTATAAAATATATATATAATATTATAATATTATAAATAGAATATTATAAAATATTTTAATTTTATAAAATTTAAATAGAATATTATTAATATTATAAATATTATAAAATATTCCAATTTTATGAAATTTAAATAGAATATTATTAATATTATAAATAGAATATTATAAACATTATAAAATATTTTAATTTTATGAAATTTAAATAGAATATATATTATAAATATTACAAAATATTAATTTCATGAAATTTAAATAGAATATTATTAATATTATAAATAGAATATTATAAATATTATAAAATATTTTAATTTTATAAAATTTAAATAGAATATTATTAATATTATAAATAGAATATTATAAATATTATAAAATATTTTAATTTTATAAAATTTAAATAGAATATTATAATTATAAATATTGTACCTTTCTTGATTCTTTTTTTATAACAATACAGACTATTAAACTTTTTATAATTATATAATTTTATACATAATAATAAACTTTTTACAATTATATAATTTTATATATAATAATAAACTTTTTACAATTATATAATTTTATATATAATAATAAACTTTTCACAATTATATAATTTTATATATAATAATAAACTTTTCACAATTATATAATTTTATATATAATAATAAACTTTTTACAATTATATAATTTTATATTTAATAATAAAGAGTTTAATAAAACGAAACGTTCATTTTATATTCTGCGTTTATAACGTTCATGTACCGATATTTGGCACTGTACGTTACCCACGTGGCTCGTATGAGCTTTGAGTTTTTGCTGGAGCTTTCAGACCGAATTTTTTCGTATCCTAGAGTTTCAATTATGAATAATTTCATAAATATCGTGCCTCTTAATTTTCTTTATAACAAATGACAATTCAATAAAACGGTGGGATGCTCGTTTTTTCTCGATCTTTAAGGCAGAATTTCCTCTGTATTTTTCCTTCGAGTACTCAAGTTGTTCGAGCATCAGACTGCCCGGGGATAAAGTACTCGCTATATTCTTATAAAGACGGTAGTTGTATTCCTGCGATCGATCGACCGAATTATTGTTTTATTTTCTATTCCCTGTAGCTAGTGTTCTCTCTCTTTCTCTTGCAGCGGACGAAAAGTCGGTCGCGTGTACGACAACAGCAAGAAAAAGAGGGAATGTGATCGAAGTTGTCCCGAGATCGATGAATTTTCTATTGTGCTGGCTGCTCGCCTGCTCTCCTTACCGAAAAATTCGAGGGAAGAAGTTCCGCGTATGCTTGAACTTTTGCAATGAAACTGGTATTTAAATCGTGAAGTTTAAAACCGTACTTTATACACCGCCGCACAGAAGTTTTAGGACTTGGCATTTTTTACCTTTAATGTTCGGTATTTACGGTGAATAAAATTTCTCTAGACAGAAAATTGAATTTAAAAGCGACGTGATGATTTGATTCTAATCTTTTCTTTTTTTTTATTTAAGTTTAAATTCGTATTTTTCCAACTCGAAATTTTTTTTTTGTGTGAATCTATGCATATATAATGTAAGTATAATGTAAATTTGGTTGCACTGACTTTTTCAACCATACACGTAGTTATCTATAATAGTAATTAAATATGAAAGGAATGTGCACACGCGTTTTCAGTAAAATATGTAAAACATATGTGCAAAATAATAATTACATATCAAATATACATATAATTTCGCATGAACATCGACAGGTTAGTAATCACTATAATATATTAGAATTAAACTGTTATACTGACTGAAGATTTGCACGATGTAAGTCGTTTTTAACACTAAAGCATCAAATTTCCATCAGTATCAAATATTAAAGCAAAAATTTAAAAAAAACCAGAAAAATTATTTTATAATACAATACTTAACATATCTGTAAGTCATATATTATATCAGTAGTATAGTTATATAGTAGTGTATCATAACATATAACTTGCACAAGCTACATGAAAGATCATTCAAGAGAATTTATTTAATTTTTCCAATTTAAAAACAAACACGGTGCTTGTCCTAAAATTTTCGAGCGTACGTCGATCTTTCTCAAAGTTATCCACAAAACTGTACGAAATTCGACGTGAACTGGGCCACGAGTGGCTGGTCGATATTTTAGTCTCTTCCGAGTATACATAGGTATGTATATACATACCTATTAGTATCTACTATGGGCATTTACAAATTTGAGCGCCAGATAACAATTTCCCGCGAATGTGGAATTTCGACCATCTTTCGGCTTTAACCAATTACTCTCCTGCGCTCTTACACTTTCATTTTCCCGCGGAACAGCGGTGAAACGAACTGACTTTTTAAACTAGACAGAGTTCCTCTGTAAAAAAGAGGAAAGTAGCCGCAAAAATCAACGAGATAAATCGTGTATCGGTTCAATGAGGAAAATGTGTTCGCTGATTCTGACAACTCCACAATTTATTTTATTTAACTTTGACAATTTTGAAAAAATTTGAATCATACATTACTTGTTTGTAAATTTGAATCAAACATTACTGACTGTACATTAATTAATTGAATTGTAAAATATAGAGTTTGCATATTCGCTGCGAGAGAAATTTTACATATTCAGAGAGATAATGCAAAAATTTGATACTGACTGAGGTGCATATTTAGCATACAATTAAAAATATATTTGTTTTCCATTTGACATATGTGGATACATGTATATCTCTCAAAACATTGGAAAACTTTTCTCCTGATTGAGAATTCACCATGAATTCGAAGTTCCCCTTTTGTAACAACCCTCTAAAACTTGTTGTACGATTTTTTTCTCGCCAAATTATTGAGCTTTGAAGATTATTGAGTGACAAAAATTCAAGAAATATTAGGACAAAAAAAAAAAATAAATTTCATTAAAAAAAAAAAAAAAAAAAAAAAGAGAAAAACACATTTTGAAGACAAAAAGTCATTTTGAAAACTCAGAAACACGTCCCAGACAAGATTTACGACTATCACAAGATGTTCTCCTCGAAACAAACTAACAATAAATTTTACTTTAAACAATTTTTCTATCACAAATAATTTAGGAGGCGCTTTCCTAATCGCTAGCGCTACCCCCTCCACTGCATCGATCTCCCCACTATATTGAAATTTCCTCGCCGTGCATGAGGCAGTGGGGCTGATGCGGTGGAGGGGGTCGAGAAAGGGCCGCCAGTTAGCCAACTCTGATGTAAAATACGGTGTGTGAAGACAGAAGTTTGAGGGCAAGATTTTGAGTTAAAAAATAGCGAGCGTGCAGATCTCGAGAAAATTATTGTAATTACCACAAAGTATTGAGTCGTAGACCTACAGAGAGTAAAATATCGTGAGAGTATGCAGATTTTGGGGGAGTTATGGGAAGTAATGAGTCGTGGCAGCGCGCAGAAGTCGTATTTGCACTTATTCAGTTTTCCTTATATTACTTGAATATTGATAAACATCATATTTATATTATAAACTACTAGGTTTAATTTCGTTTTCTCTCCCCTAGATAATCGCGTGAATTATCCTGCAGACACATACTTCTGGCGAAGAAGATAGAACATTAACGAAACTCTCCGAATCTTCCATCGAATGCATCGTATTCGATGCTTGTCGACGTCTCTGTAT